TGGTCAATCCATCTCCGTTCCTTCCTGCTTATTTGTTGTGTGCTGGTTTGGTTCGCTTACAAAGATCAATGTTGCTGATCTTTTCTAGCCGGCCATCTGATCTTGAGTAGTATTGAGCGAAGACAACTGTTAATGAAGGTCTGTAGTTTGTTTGAGATGTTCTTTATGACGCGTTGGCCAAGTCTCTGATCCGTATGGTAGCACTGACTGACTCCACATTGAAGTTGAAAATCCGGATCATATTTTTGATGCTGAGTGCTGTTGACCTCCAAGTCTTCGGGTTTGTGTCAAACATAAATCCTTCACATGGGAAATTCAGATCTTCTAGAGTCTTTTCATAGGTGGTCCAGCGTACCCCAATCTCCTCGCTTCAGTCGCACAGTGTGACGCGAAATGTAGTCCACCACAAATTAGGAATACAACCGGTAATAGTTGGCTGGCAGCCTTGTTCTACTCCTGCATTCATTTCGAATGCCTCAATGTCTTTCTCGTAGGGGATCACCTGAGGTATGACATCGTCAAATAGCAATCTGATAAATAAGGTTGACAAAGAATACGGCACTGTAAGCCGTAGTGATGAAGTAATTTCCAAATTTTTTTCTCACTCAAAGCTGACTGTGGAAGGCCTCTTCGAGGTCGATGAATTTGCTCTTTTAGACGACGATGCTAAAAGGGAAGGATTAAAAAAACTACGATATGGAAGTCTCTAATTTAGAAGACAAAAGGGTTGAGAGAAGAAATATTTACTTTTCAATTAGACCCTCATCTCTGGCTCTACTCTAATCTATATAACCATAACATTTTTGCTGCAATACACAACAATTTACCGATCAATTGGTGGTATGTTTGTTAACAATAATTAGTCAGTATCGACATATCAAACGGGGTTGATAATTAACGCAGAAAATCAATACACACAATTAGGAGGAATAAATGGTTACAACAAGTGGGTTGCATAATGCAATACTTTTGAAAAAAATGAAGAGTGATTACGGAATAAGTGTGTGCACAGGTTGATTACGTAACAGACCGTTAAAGAAGACAATCATAAGATGTAATTTTCAAAAGGTTTGGGAGGGAAATGAGAAATACGAAGTAGCGTTTCGTGCAACGATGGCCAAAATAAAGAAAGTGGCTTTACAAATTACTGCTGAACACACAGGTTTGCCTAGGCTTCTTCAGGTGAATTCCTATAGCTTTATCTGTCGGCATGTAGAAGACGAACTCGTTAACAAAATTAATATTAGTAAGAATGTGATAAATAATTTTAAATGCTGTATTAAAACCGACATTATGCTCACTGTCTACAAGTAGTTTTTTTTCCTTCACGTTCCTCACTGGAACATAGGGCTTCAAGCTAGTGGCTTGAGGTTTCTGTAGCAGTGTTTATTTCGCAGGATGGGGTTACTAGCCTCATGCCCAACCTTTCCTCTTTACCAGCATTATTACTGGGTTAGCGAGGTGATGTATTGCGTCGGCCGAGGACCGAACCCCGGGTCATGTACTTAGTCGGCGAGCGTCCTAGCCACTATGCCACCGACGCAAACCATACTAGGACAATAGTCCGAATAGATCTTGTTATTCCTTTGCTTAACTGCTATGCAGGATGATATTTAGAAATCCGATGATGCAACGGCCCAATTGTACGCCCGGTATAGCTGGCTCAGCAACGGCAGTCAAACTGGTAGATGCACATAGAGGATGCAAATTTAGGTAGTTTGTCCTTATTTCTCGAAAGTAAAATAAGTGTGGTATTGAAGAAATAAAGTACCCGTGATGCAATGAAAGCTCTTTTAAATGCACTCTTCAGGCTCTGTGTTACCGTTTCATTGATTTTGTCACCGAGGAACTTCAGTCTTATGAACAACCGCTTTTCAGAGCTCTTGCCATACGGACTTACCTTGACGTAAAATTCATATTCTTATCAATGGACTTGTCTGGATAACTATTTTTACTACTAAGTAATTCTTTAATATTCTTAGCCTCCTCATTAGGGGAGTCTTTTGAACAGATTACCCCAGCCAAATAAACCAGACACTTTAACAAATTACTTTTATATTTCAAAGATGCAAAACGCAAAATATGAGTGTACTGACCTGATGTTGAAGGTTTCCTATACACGTTCCTTTTCCGTGGACCAACCTCTTTCCTGGGCAGTAATGAGATAATGTTATTACTTTCTTCTTCCGCGGTGAAGTTTATTGCTGAATGGGCATCACTGAATTTGCTTCATTCTCGTTTTTAACAACCAGAATGGTATCATCCACAATCCGATAGTAGAAATTCAACTCCTCAATTCATCTTCTCTAAAATTAGCGAGACAAAAATCAGCCAGAATTTGACCTCATGGGGAGCCCATAGTGACATCATAGGTTTGTCTTTAGTATTCCTTATTGAATAAGAGATGGACATTCATCGCACATCTTAAAATAAGTTCCTTCATGGAGGATACAGAAATGCCGATGTCTATGTTTCGCCTAGTAATCTCATCACATGTAAAATCCACTGTCTTCATGAGCTGTACTTTGTGGAACAAGAAGGATACATCAAAAGATGTCATAAACGTTTCATTCACATTACGATCTCTTATCTCTTTGGCAAATTCAAAAATATCTTTTACACTGTATTTTACCAACTTGTAAGGCACAGCTCCACCAACAATTTTTCTGTTGCGTAATATGAGGAATTACACATGGTTGGTTTGGAGTGATCTGGTGGGTTACATATTTGATCACAAGCTATTATCACTTACAGAACCATTGTAAATGGGCCCAAGTTAGAATTCATAGGGCATTGAGTCAGAACAATGTGGCTGAATGATCTAGAAGACTGACTTGTAAATAGGTGGTCTTAAATTGTAACTGTGGTGGGGCATAATGCTGGAGAGTATTTGGGACAGAAGAGACAACTGTCTAGTGACTCCTGATTTATTGCAGGATTTCATCATGAGCCGACATTAGTTAGAGAACCATTGGAAAACCACCTGGGTGCACTGCCAGACAGCTGTTTCCCCCATTCTAGTCTGCGACTCTTCATCAGAACGCACCCATCTCCTCGGTTCGAACCCAGGACCTTCTGATTAGAAGGCGGTCTAGTAGACCATTGAGCTACTGGGACCTGATCGGATGGCCAGCCCATGAATCCTAACTTCTACCAATTCACGACATAGCGCTACCGCTATCCAATGTCTTCGGCGAGTATTTATCCTCACATCTGACCTGCTGCACACTACTGGTCACAACTAAACCACTAGAATCCCAGGTAGTTACCTACCTAAATAGGAACAGTTGCCAGTGAGCATCTCATTGATATTCAAGTATTGGTTTGTGGGGATTTGATTGATTGGTCACAGCAATTGATTATGAGCTGACATTAGCTAGCGGATTGTCTGAAGTTAGAATTCATGGACCACCGGATCAGGTCCCAGTAGCTCAATGGTCTACTAGACCGCCTTCTAATCAGAAGGTCCCGGGGCTTGACCCCCGGCGAAGGGTGCATTCTGAAGAAGAGTCCCAAACTAGGACGGGGGAAACAGCTCTCTGGTAGTACTCCCCAGGTGGTTTCCCAATGGTTCTCTAACCAATGCCGGCTTATGATGAAATGTGTTATACAAATGAACATTTATGTGAGGCATCAGTTACATTGGACGAACAGAGAGAGGGCCATACCTCCAATAGTCTACTGGATAGCGATTTGGCGTTTGAAACTATGGGTACTGAGTTCATTGGCTGACGAGTCCCAAATATGACGAAATTTGCGTTGTCCTGGATTCCACTGCTAGTCACTATCGACAAATGTATCACAGGAAAGGACATTTATCTGTTACCTGTGTTTTGAAACATTTCATTGATTTCATTTTCACAACATCTCATAATAAATGTTGTTATAACACCATTTTAAAACCACTCCTGAAACAAAAACGATCATTTTACTAAATAAATGTACTTGATTACTAAAATTTTTTAAGTAGTATAAAATGTTTAGTAAAATTTATTTTGAAATCGAATAATTACATAGAAGAGATCAATTTTCTGCATCTCTAAGCATGAATCTTGACTGGAAGATTTTAAAAGAGGTTTTTCGAAGTAAATCTGAATTCTGAAAACATAAATAAAGATGCATAGTTTAGTGGACCGTCAAATTTTTGAATTCTAGCAAGATGTGACAAGTAAGTTCCAGTAAGGTTGGTGTCAGGAAGTTATCCATTTTCAGTCACTTAAGTTAGAATTTATGGACCATAGGATTTTCCCCAGTTGAGGAACAATTAATCAGATAACACCTGCATGGGGTACGATCTCATGACAGTACTCTGGTGCTGTTGAACAGTCTACAACTAGGATTAAACAGTTACTCAATACTCCCTGTTGGTACAACTGCAGCCTAACTAGCGCCTATTCGTGATCACGTGTAAAGTTAGAAAATGATCCGTTGAAATTGACTATCAATAGCTTTTGTCTGTACAAAAGGTATACTGATTGTGTCTTATCATTTCTGATAATAAATGTGACGCAAAACAATGTGTTATCAACAAGTTATCAATAAACATCGAATTAACGACTGAGGTAGAAACTGGACAAGCAATCTCTCTTCTGTATGTTCACCTGAAAAAGAAGATCTTTAGAACATTGAACAAATCGTTATATATAAAAATCCTAGATGGAACGGTCAGTTGACACAAAACCTTGTATAGTTGGGTGTACATTAGATCTTGAATAAAACCCGATAATATCCCCTATGATCTTGACCAGAAGAATTTGTAGTTCTGATTGATTTTTGTTTCAAAATGAACATTATGCAAGTATAATGAAATCATTTCTGTAGATGAACTACTTATTAATGTCTTTAGGCTTAAATCAATAAACAATGATGGTAACATTTTATTCTGCACAAACCACTAGTGTTCTTGCTTTATTCAAAATCATAAAGGGAAATATACATGTGATACATGCTTGATTAATCAACTTCTTACCTTTCTCGACTTTATTCAATTTCTATTTCAGTTCACTCTACTATTTGTCGTAATATTTGTCGATAGTATGATATGCCAACCTAAGTCGGTTAATTTGAACACATTCTCTGGAATCGCCTATATACACTTATTGATTTATACTATTGCGTAAGTTTATACATTCCGTTCCGTAGTCTGCCAACTTTTTCATCACATGGCTTAACGTGCCCTGGCCCACACATGCTTTCATCTTGTCTTTACATGACCTGCTCCATGTCACCGTCACACTGACGATCAAATGACTTACCGCTTCCCTTTTCTGGTATCAGTCGGGCGATAGCCTGACGTGTGGTGTCACTTAATGGTTTCCTCAGAGTATGGCCAATCCACATATACTTCTTCCTGCATATTTCTTGCGCTATTGCTTCCTGGTTGTTTTGCTCCAAGAGATCCATGTTTCTGATCCTTTCCATCCGACCATCCGATGTTGAGTAGTTCTGAGCAAAGACACCTGTTGATGACGGTCTGTTTGAAGTGATCTACATGAAGCGCCAAGTCTCTGATCAGTATAGTGAGTAGCACTGACTTCACATTGGAGTCAAAAATACGGATCTAACGTTTCATGCTGAATGCATCACAGACTTGATAGAAACGAGAGCATGCATTGCTTTCCAGATCCCCGCCTTGATATCTGCATCAATTCCGTCCGCCTTTAGTTGAAACGATGCTCTCTAGGTAAGTAGGTAGATATGTAGAGGAAGTTGCTTCGCTCAGATTTCTCCCATTTATGCTGGCTGATTGTTGTCCGTTAATGTTGTCCCTGTTAGTCAGGATTCCTCATCACCTTGAATAACTGACTTTTTTAAGATTACCTAAAGTGTTTGAATAGTATATTAACTCATGCAGTTTATCACCTCTAGAGTGTTCGTCTTCGGTTTAAATTCCTACTAATTACGATAGTAAGGCTAAAATCTGCGGGGGCATATTCACTTTACTAACAAGTTTTTCCTTGATAATGTTCATCCTAAAGTTTCACTACCTCTCATACGGATGTGTTGCTAATTTCAGTCTTAAAAATGTTTCTCTTAAACTTCTCATCATAGTCATTGATTTTTCCCATTGTTTGTTACATTTATTTTTATCTTCAGAATGGAGATTGCAATTGGTCTACAATGCACCAAAATATTTCCATACTTTATGGAGCTAACCGTTATATACAGATGTGTTATATACCTATTGACATGGCTAATTCTTAGTTTGATTATATACATTCAGTACCTATTGATGACAACAAATCACCATAAATGTAACACTGGGGCAAATCAAGGTAGAACAGATTCTGCTAGTTTAGAAAATGGAGACAGGTAAGTTGAAATAGTCTACTTACTTTGTCTGATGGTCTAGTTTTTCCTTCATGAATGCAATGCAATATACTGTTTCTCCTTCGTCTAGGTATACCTAAACTCTCCGGTTAGTAATGATAATCGTGATGGGAATAGAATTTTAAAAAAGTCATCATTTCAAAGGTCAAAGTGTTATTCACTGAGTCATTTGGGTAACTGGAACTACCTCTTGTGCAACTACTATAAGTTATTATTCATTAAAGTTTATCACCACCAACGGAACGATTGGCGACGAAATATCAGCACGGATCCAAAACGCTTGAGCTGCTTTCGCTGACTCACACCATCTCTGGCGTAGGCGTGACATCTGGCTATCAACCAAGAGACGTGTGCACTGCTCAGCAGTTCGCCCCGTCCTTCTCTATGGCTCTCTGAAACATGGCCAATACGAGTTGAAGACATGAAAAGGTTGACTGTTTTGATCATAGATGTCTACGATCTGTTTCTCACGTTAGGTAGTATAATAAGGTAGGTAATGTTGACGTTAGGCGTAGAGTGTTGGGCAAATAGGGAAAATCAATCGACGAGGCCATAAAGTTACATAGATTGAGATGGTTAGGTCAAGTGCTGCGCATGCCTAACCATCGCCTCCCCCGACGGGCATTACTAGCTGATGATATAGGTGCAGGTTGGAAAAGAGTAAGTGGTGGCCTAACAAAACATGGTATCAATCCTTGACAGTTAAAATGAGTCAGGTAGGGAGATGCAGACTTCCGGGTTGGGGCCCTCGGGACTCTAGGAATCAATGGCTGGAGACAATAGGTGATATGGCTCAAAATCGTTGTCAATGACAGCGCAGATGTATTCAGTCTCTTTAATCTTGCATATTCCTTTCTACCATTACCCATTCTGTTTCACTCTTATACTTGTCAAACTCTATTGATTCTCTTCACTCATCTTCTTGTCTACCTCTGTGTGCTATTTGAAACGTGACAGCTCGAACTGCTGCACTTCGATGACAAGTTCTGTGTTAAATCCACACAGACAAACAGACAGACAGAGAATTAAAGTTAGTTTCTTGTTTCATGTCAGTTCATTATACCAGACAATGATGACTGTTTTCTGTCGAAATATCTACCCTCAAGTACTTATGATTCGGTGAGGGTTTGAGAATTCAAATGATGAGAATCTCATCAGTTATGCGTGGTGGTAGAATCCAGGAATCCATCAGACGGAGAGAGAGAGTCGAAGCGGCTATACCTAGAGCCAGTATCTTCACAGAGGAGAAACACTTTACGGAAAATACACCACTAGCCCAGGCAAATAATAATATGTGGATAGCTGGGAATATTTTATTAGAAACTTTAGGAATCTGTGATTGTTTGATTTCATTGGAAATGACAATAAACAGTTCAGTGAAGAGTTTAGTTTTGGTGGCAAATTTACTCACTTAGCTGTACAATTGCAGCCTCTCCATGAACGGATGAGAAAAAAAGAGAAGAAGAAGAAATATCAAACATGACTGAGATTCTCAAGCAAAATGAATACCCAGAGAACTTCATCAACAAAATCATGGACCTCAACAGTTGTCATACCATATAGAGCGGAGACGTAAGACAACATCAGAAGAGTGCTCAACAAGAATGACATCAGAGTTTTCTTTAAAACATCAGACCCAGTAAAAAGCAACCTTTCGCGTTCAAAACACCAAATCCCTGAGAATTCTCTGTCTAATTGTGCCGACATAATGTAAGGCTTGAAGTATTATGTGATATACATCGGGCAAAACTCGCCAGAGAGAAATCACGATAATCAGAAGAAATGAACATCGTCGAGCATCTCTGTTAGACCATCGAGAAATCCAGTTAGTGAGCTAGAAAGGCTTGAAAAATCATCAGCTCTATGTGGTGGTTTACACGCTATAAAATGAGGTCACAAAATCGATTGCGACAGCATCGAAATAATCCAGGAAATATTCAAAGATCACATAGGACGTCTCATTTCATCAGAAGCAATTCATATTAAATGGAATCCAAATTGTCTGAATAGGAATGTTGGAGTAAAACAGAATCTGACCTGGTTACAACATCTCCCTCTGTCGTGTAAAATGACAACGTCAACACGGATGGGATAAGCGATTTCATTATGTAAACACACGGTACTTTTATAATTTTAAACACTTATCAAATCCAACAATCTACACCTGGTTTTTTTATCTTCACGAACTGGTCAACGTGACGACACAAAAATGCCCCCATGCTAATGAACTATGACTAAGTTGTTAGATGTAAGCTGAGTGGATTTTGTAAATTCTTGTTTAATAATGCTACTTTGATAAAGCTATTAGCAATAAGTAGAGAAACGTCAGTTGAACCATGAATATCGTTTTCTTTTTCATTTATAAGGAAATGCACAACACCTTCATTATAATGCCCACATTTTTCAAACGGTTAAAAGTGAACTTGGTTATGTCATATATATAGCAATACTTATTTGTGTGCGTAGCTTAGGATTGTCCGATAAGAATAGAAATAAGTTAGGCTTATTGTTGTCAAGACATTTTCAAAATGTGATGAACAATTAAATCGTAACTACGGGGAATGAAGATTTGAAATCGGGTAGTGCTGATGCCTGGTGATTTCAACCAGTAAATAAAAGAAGTTGAATAAGCGTACTACTGTTACGTAGTAAAGTGCATAGTCTATTCAGTGAATTGTGATTAGGAAGCACATAGAAATAAATGAAAATATTGAATTATGTAGAAGTTCTAAACGTTGCAAATGTTATAACGAGTTAGCAAACAAGAAAAACATGCACACAAATATCAGGGGTGATTAGAAATCAACACGATTGTTACCAAGATAATAGAAGTGGTTGAATGATTTTCTTTTTGTGCATACATAATTTTGGTTTTTCAAACTAATATATGTTTTAAATGAGTGGTAATATATTTAATTGGTGGATGGTGACTAGCAGTGGAATCCAAGATGCGCATTTCGTCCTATTTCGGACTCGTCAGCTATCTGGATGTACCTGCGTTTCTTAGTGAGTGATTATGTCCCCAACACTGAGGCTGGAATCCAGTACCCATAGTTTCAAACGCCAAAGCGTTATCCACTAGACCACTTGGGCCACGAGAGATACATCTTCTGCAACGGGTCATAATGATTATTTAATTGAATTTTAGATTTTCCCGTCGATTGATCGATTGGACCGAAGTGCTCGGTCTCAGGTTGACATGTCGGCTTATTCACATAGTTTTGATGTGGTTTTGTTCTCTGAGCTGGATAGTTAGTTTGCGAAGCTTTCATCACCTTACTGGGTGACATCTTCAGCGCATACTTCAAATTGAAGTGAGCTTTTAGGTTTCTCCACAAGTTTATTAATCATTCCTCCTGGTGACCTTGGACGTGATTGGTTGTTTATGTATGTTTTCACACCTTCTAGGTTACTTGTATTGGAACCAGTTGTTTCTTTGACTTGAACTTTGACCCTTTGTGTATGAAGTTTCTTTCTTATTGGTTGATAAATTTTGTCTATCTCGATGTGTCTATTGATTTATGATTCACTGGAATGCCAAGCTTCTAAAAATTCTCTAGCACTCCCTCATTTCACTACACACAGACAACCACGGACATCAATTCGACTGGGACAACGTTCAAATATTATACAAAGGAAATAACAAGAATGCTAGAGAATTTTTAGAAGCTTGGCATTCCAGTGAATCATCAATCAATAGACACATCGCAATAGACAAAATTTATCAACCAATAAGAAAGAAACTTCATACACAAAGGGTCAAAGTTCAAGTCAAAGAAACAACTGGTTCCAATACAAGTAACCTAGAAGGTGTGAAAACATACATAAACAACCAATCACGTCCAAGGTCACCAGGAGGAATGATTAATAAACTTGTGGAGAAACCTAAAAGCTCACTTCAATTTGAAGTATGCGCTGAAGATGTCACCCAGTAAGGTGATGAAAGCTTCGCAAACTAACTATCCAGCTCAGAGAACAAAACCACATCAAAATTATCCACCTGAGCTACAAATCTTCTCTATCATATCTATTCACATAGTTTTGAACAAAAAATAAGGGAACCGCTAAAGAAAAAATCTTCCTCTGAAGAAGTGAAGGTCAGAAGACTAAGTTGCCTTAAAAACTTTATTTCAAGCAAAATGTAGAAATACTCGGTGGTCCACAATTCACTAGATCAAGAAATCAAGTCTTTATCAGCCTCATTCAACAGTTGGCTATATCGCAACGCCACCAATGTCAGGTGATCCACAGCGGATAACTACGAGAGGTGTTTGCAGCGAACACAGGAATAAGACAATGTCGCTTGGCAATTATCAGCACTGAAATTACTAACTGTGGTAAACTACATTATGCTCCAGGCTGTGATTTGGTAAGGAGAAGACAGGAATATGTTGGATCACCTATAAGAAAACCCTAGGAGATCTGGGTTTCACAGATGATTTATGTCAAATGTCACAAAATCTAACAGACCGGCTGAAGAAGCTGGCTGGCAGTGATGACAGAATTCCAGGTGAACATAGAAGAGACGCAGGTGATGAGGATTAGCAACCAATGGGAACAGCAACAACAATCATCATCAATCACAATAAACCGGAGAGATTTGACATAAGTTAGTTACTTCATTTGGTTTATCTAAGAAGCACAGTTTCAAACACAAGCGTTTGGACAGTATGGATCAAGATTTCGGCATCAACCAGCCAGAATCGGAAAGGCAAGACAGACGCATTCATCAGCTTGAAACCAGTTTAGGAATCTTCTGCTTCAGTCAACTAGAATAAAGAAAAAATCTTGATTCGGAACAGAGATATGAAGTCAATGAGTTCTTCTATATGGGTAACAAACTCGCACTGTCAGTCGAAGAAAGGATTTCCAGCGAGTCACAACAACAGCTTACTTCGCTGGCTGCATTCTGTGAGTCAGTTAGAACTCTCGCCGACCATGCACATGGTCCGGGATTTGATCCCCCACCGATGTACACCTGA